TCCTCGCCGCCCAGGTGCGTGTCGCCCGCCGTCGCCTTCACCTCGAAGATGCCAATCATGGGAGCCGCGATCTTGCTTTTTGTAAATTTAAACTGATGTACACTTATATTGCAGATCTGATTTTTATGTGGGTCGCTTTCGGATAATGTCGGATAACGTCCTACTCTTTCTCCTTTTCCTGTTTACGATCACAGTCTGTATGAGTACTGATTTATTTGATTACACGTTATGAAGTTTAACTTGCTCCAATAATCGTCTTTTCTAGTTGTTAACTCTCTTCGTTTCACGTTTGGTCGCAAGCGAGATTCTGACGCGAGTTCGCTCACGGCGCGCTATATATGCGAACGAATCATCTCAGCGTCGCCGAAGGCCACGTACGAGGGGGTGGCCCTGCTGGTCGTTGGCCACGATCTCCACCCTGCCCTGCTGGAACACGCCCACGCACGAGTACGTGGTGCCCAGGTCGATGCCAATCACGGGACACGCCATCGTCTCCTCTTCTGCTGATTGCACTCGAGTGAAAATCTAATTTATTTCAAGTTGATTTCTTCTCTTATGTAGAAATATCTGGTAATTAATCCACTAAGGGTTTTCTCGTCTGCACCTTATGGAAATCTTCTTTGGGTCTCTTCAGGTATATGTAATAACTGTTAATGTCACTTGGCGTATGTAATATTCTTGCACTTTCCTCTTAGTAACTATTCTTCCTTTCGTGTATCGTTCCGAGTGTCTTCCCGGCGCGCTTTATATGCGAGCGAAAGATTTCGGGAAAATCGGAGAACGTTCGAAAAAGTTCTCTAGAAAAGGGTGAACGGGTGAGACAGGCAGTACTCGTAATTGGCTCACTGGTGACTTAGTACAAGTGTAGCCATTTATGTGTAAAAACAATCGAACAAGTCGACTCACAGTGGGCATGGCATGTACGTACATATCATCCCCGGTGGCAATGGTTTAAATATTTCTTTATTCTCTGTACAAAAATATGTCAGACTAAATAGGAATATTAGGCATTATTTCCTTCTGCTTGTCTTTTTTTTCCCTCTTCCTTTCCTCTCCCTTTCATGCTCAGCTTCATACATAGGAAAAGAACAGAAAAAAAACATGAGTTTTAAAAATTTATGACATGAAATATCTTGTTTATGGCTAGTCCTCAAATACAAGTGATTTTACCTACTTACATAGTGAAACTTTATATAGTATATGCAGTGCAGTTGACCAATTGCTGATGAATGGTGATAAATTAAAATAGGTTATCAGGTTAATATGACAATTATTTGATAAACGACAGGTTGATGATGACAACCTGTCAATTATATCTTCAATTTACTACTGATAATGATAATGAAAATGATGATGATGATAATTATAGCAAAGAAAAAAATAATAATGTAACAATAACAAAGAGTTATAATGTACATGATGTAGTATTATAAGGGAAGAAAAACCAACTACAAATATAATCGATTTGCATATGTATTTATGTAGCTAGTTTTTGCCGAGTCTTTTATGTGTGCCCCAACAGTGATATAAACAAAAAATGGTCACCAGTCACGTAGATATTTGAATTTAGCAACTACACAATGATGAATATACTATATGGGGAACATGTTGCTGCATACAATAATTATGTTGGTGGATATATATAAATTGTACACACTCACACAGACACATGAATATGTAGATAGATAGGAAGATAGATGGATAGATAGGAAGATAGATAGAAGGATAGATAGATAGATAAATAGATACATGGATAGATAGATAGGAAGATAAATAGATAGATGAATGGATAGATAGACAGAAGATAGATAGATGGATGGATAGATAGATGGATAGATAGATAAATAAATAGATAGGAAGATAGATAAATGGATAGATAGATAGATGGATAGATAGATAGATGGATAGATAGATATATAAGTAAGAAGATAGATAGTTAGATGGATAGATCGATAGATATATAGATAGATAGATAGATAGGAAGATAGATAAATAGATAGATAGGAAGATAGATGGATGAATGAATGGATAGATGGATTGATAGATGGATGGATGGATAGCTTTATGGAAGTATCAATTGATGGATGGATGGATTGATATATGCATGTATGTATGGATGAATCCATTGTATGTATGTATGTACATGCAAATACATAAAACATACGTAAGCAATTACATCTATTTATAAGCTTCTGTGTATCGGAGACAAATAATATTCTTCGTCGCAAGTAGAACGTAAATTCCAAAATTCACAAAGTAGGAAAAGATTGTCAAGAAAAAAAAAAAAAAAAAAAAAAATACGGTACGTTACGGACGGGCGAAGGGGTGACTGCGGTAAATGACTGCCAGGGACAAAATCGCCAGTGTGTGACGATATTTTTTCATTTTCTTTTCCTCTTCTTTTGTTTATTGCGTTATTTATGTTCTTGGCTTAGTTTTTTTTTCGTTTTTGTTTACTTTCTTTTCTTTGTTTCTTTATTTCTTGCCGTAAAGATTTAAAAATATATATATATTTTTTTTCTGTTATTTTTATTCTCTCTGTTAGTGTATTTGGGTCTCTCTCTCTCTTTATCGCGTCCTTTCTGTATTTGTTATTTTCTGTTCGTTTCTTTGTTTCTCTGTGTATTTGTTTTTTTCTTGGGTCGCTGTCTCTTTTGTTTTTATTCTTTTTGTCCCGTTCTCTTGTCTTATTTTATCTCTTTCTCGGTCTTTATATCTCTCTATTCTCCAGTCTTCTTTTGCTCTCGTTCACTCTCTCTTGCTCTATATATATGTGTGTGTGTGTGTGTGTGTGTGTGTGTGTGTGTGTGTATGTGTATGTGTGTGTGTGTGTGTGTGTGTGTGTGTGTGTGTGTGTGTGTGTGTATGTGTGTGTGTGTACGTGCGTGTGTGTATGTCTGTGCGAGCGCGCGCGTGTGAACATCACCCAGGATTCCTCGCTAGAGTTGCCATATTCCCTTTACATTACAAGGGAATGACTTGCAGATCTGCACATGTCTTCTTTTCATATATTTTAGGATTTATCATATACAATATATGAATGCTAAAATGAGAGAATAACTGATTCCACAGTAGTTTATTATTGCCGTATGAGAGGAAAAAAATATCTTTCAAAATCTATAGAAGAAAATTTAATTGATTCTGAACGAAATATAAAGCACCTGTTCTCCTTGACTAACTTAAAGCCGAGAAAAAAAAATAATTCATCACAGTAGCTGTTTAATCTTTGATACATTTTTCAACTGTCATATTTTTAATGTTCTTTATTTGGTGTGTATAATTCGCACACTATTACAGAAACCAATCAACTAGTCATATATATATATAAATATTCTTCTCCGTTTCAAAATTCGACATTCTAAATAGATTCCCCCAAAGCGGCAATCCATTATAGGTGTAAACTCTTTCTGGAAAAAAAAAAAAATCATTTAAACGGAGATATTCTAAAGTCTACCAATTTCCTTAATTAGCGACATATATAAACCAAGGACTTCCTTAAGCATTAGGCACCCGCAGGAGGAAGCGTCTTTGCCGGGCGGATTTTACTGGTAATCACAGTCCTGAGGATCGTGGCGCAGGATAGACGTGTGGCAAGCGTCCTACGTGGAAAAGGTTAGAGAGATATACTTAGTATTGTATAAGGGGACGTGGAAAAGGCTAGAGAGATATACTTAGTATTGTATAAAGGGACATTTTCGTGTGTTCTGTTTTTAAAGCTCACTTGAATTCTTGATTGTGTGTGATAGTTTACTCGTGTGTATAGGATGGTATTAATAGCGATAATACCGGCGGTGTAGAACTATAATCCGGAGAGGTATATCCCTAGATAACATTAAAGAAATATGATATATTAGTGAAATGAAGTGAAACATATAGCTTGTACGGCCTTTGTGTGATAGTCCATTGTATTTGATGTATTCCTCTGCATTCTATTGTATTTGATCTATTCCTATGTATTTTGTTGTATTTAATGTATTCCTATAGCAATGGTTCTTCATAGAAAGCTGTTGTTTCCAAATGAAATAATGAAATATTCATAAATGGATGTGATCTTAACGTTATTTCTGTCTTTATCTGTAGGATTATATATACGTGTCTGATTTTTTTTAGTGTGTTTATGTTTGTTCTAAAGTATACAGTTCAAAATTTCATATTACCTGTAAAAAAAAGAAAAGAAAAGAAAAAAAAAGTGTAAGTTTTATCCGAAGTTTGTGGACGTTTTAATTGTTTATTTAGGTGGATGTAGAAATGAAGGAATGCTGAAAAATGTATGCATGTATCTATATATCTATATGAATGGATATGCACACACACACACAAACAAACACATATATGTATGCATGTGCGTGTGTACATATACATATATGTATATTTATAGATAAATTTATACACAGTAACACATATATATGTGTGAGTGTATATATATACATGTATATACATATATACATACATGTGTATGTATGTGGTCGTATGTTTGTGGGCGTATGTGTCCATCTATGTCACTCTGTCTGTTTCCGCCTGAATGTGTGCGTATGTATATTTGCGTATGTGTGTATGTATATCTGATGTGCTCACTCGTGTATGTACGTGTGTGTGTGTATCTGGTGTGAGCACTAGTGTATGTACGTGTGTGTGTGTGTGTATGTGATGTGCGCAATCGTGTATGTACGTGTGTGTGTGTGTGTCTCCTTGAACTTGTGTTTGTGCATGTGTACGTGTGTCCGTACGTGTGTCTTCCCTTTTGTCACAAGGGCAGTAACTTCTCCGTGAAGTTCTTGTTCACCGGAAGAAGACATGTTATTACTGAGGATCCAAATAGCGTTAACAAATACACGTGTGGAGGGAGGAGGGGGGGAGGGGGGCTCTCAGGGACACAAGAGCCAGTGAGGGTAACGCCAAGGAGGGGGGGGGGGGGGGGGGAGTGGGAGTGAGGGGGTGTAATTAGCTATTAATTTTTTTTTTTGTACTTATCCTGTGTTCTATATTTTTTTTTGTCTTTA